GCAGAGCTCAGCGTGGTCGTACAGACAGAATTTATACGACTGGTTCGGGTAGACCCTTGACTACAAATCTTGTTTCGCAAGATATTTCGTAAATGGAGTCGATTTCGAGATTGAGAAGGAGAAATGAGAGAACATTCGATGGTCCGTTACAGAGTACGTGGGCATGATTCTCGTTTCTCGAGATCAACGACTCTCATCCCTCAGCCAATTAGCAAGTGCTCATGTCGTCTGCTCCTGTGTGGAACTGGGATTGCGAATGGGAATATACTGTACTTTATTGAATCTATGTTCTCGCCCACGCGTTCAAATTCAAATGAATTTTCATCAGAACTAGGAAGTGACTCAATTCAGGATGGGATTTAACAAAAGGAAATGTGTTAAATTTCGCTGACGATTCGCGATTGCTTCGTGATAAGTGCTCATGGGAGATGACAACCCTGCAGGCTTTAATGGGATCCCCACGTGCTAGCCAGATTTCGTTTACTGTGCAGAAGACACTGATGAGGCCTATGGGCTTTGCTTGCGAGTGGTTATCAGAATGACGAAGGGCAAACCACCCATGTACCTGGTGGTCAAGTGGGAACAGGGTGAGTATGATCAAGTATTGTATGATGTGTTCTAGAGGTCCCAACCCACACAGCACAGGTATATCCCAGAGATGTCCCAGGGATATCCCATTGGGACAAGTGAGAAGTCTCAGGTAGTACTTGTAGGGGCCTTCCTACCCCTTCCTACCCAAATGGACTCATTTCCTATCGCACAGGAGAACCCTTTGCTTTCGTAGATGTCTCTATTTTATATAGGACCACCTAATTTAAAGTTCTTGATCGATTGAAGAATAACGATTAAGGGGGAGGAAAATACCATTCCTAAAGGAAGCCCCATCATTGGATTCACATCTCAAGGGGAAGAAATTTTGCACTTATACACATGGGTGATATCGTGTAGTCTTATGCATTTCAAATTGAAAGGGGCTCAGGCCTCCAACCAATATAGTTGTATCCAGACATGTCAATCAGACATCATTAATGAGAATATAAAAGAATAAATTAAAATTCGGACCACAATTTTTTCACTTTCTCTGATGGCCGTTTTCCTTATGTATGGTACGAAAATCCTTACTTGTCCTCAGGACAAATCAAATAGATGAATTCGATAGAAAAGATCTGAGGTTGTAGATTAGGGCTCACGGGAGACATCTACCGTCGAAGCTGTGCACCTGACTGAAGGCGACAGAGAACACAGAAGATGCCTAAAGACATCCCTAAGACGTCCCTAAGACATCCTCCTCAAGATATCGAAAAGCGTTTTACTGAAGATATCTTCAAGAAATCCCCTCCAGGATATCCAGAAGCATTCGACTAAGGATGTCTTAAAGAAATCCCAAAAGGGATATCTCTAAGATATCAACTGAAGATGTCTAAAAGACGTCCAGAAGACATTCCTTACGAGATGTCCGAAACCGTCCAAAAGAAGATGTCTTCAGGATATCCTATAACCCAAGTAGCAAGGGATCATCCCTGGGACATCCCATTTAGATCCTACGTGGGACAAAATGACATCCCATGGATGTCATAATGTAATCGTTCCGGGATATGGAAATCCCTGGAGCATTCAGACGACATCCCGTAAGGTTTTTCTTTGGAAACTTTCTATATAAAGTGGATGCCATGATATGAAAATGAAGCTTTCGTTTGCATAAGCAGGCCATTGAATGGATAAGTCATCACCGAATGAAATCGTTCTTTCCCTACGGAGGTTGGAAAAGGGAGTTCATATCCAGGGTCCAGTCTCTTCGTGTATCTCCTCCTCCTTCTTCAATGCTTTGAGGAGGAATGCTCACCCTCTGCTCATCACATCCATAAAGGAGGTTCTCCCTTTCTAGTGAATGAGGACAGAATCCTGTTAGTCTTGTAAACTTATGCCACAGACGGGGCATATGGGAGTAGGGGGATGACATGGGAATATAGACTTACCTTTACTCTCATAATTTAGCCTCCTACACTATGAGTGCCCCATCTCCTGATACGAATGTGAAAGCAGAATGAGACTTCGCTGTGCGAGTAGGCATGGTGTTTGCTCACTTGCACGAATTTAGTCTCGTAGTCATTAGTCGTAGAACTATGCAGGAATTGGAAAATCAGCGCGAAAACAAGGTGTGCTCATTAGGGAATCGCTGTGGATTCTCGGAAGGGTGAGACTCGCATGCGAGTCCCACCCTTCCAGGAGTACTCTCTCGCGCCTCTTCTTAGGGGACATGGAACACCGCGCCGGTCCTCGCCTGATATGAAATTTTTTAGCTGAGTTCAAATGTAGACTTAATAGTGACAGGCCTAATCGATTTTGAAGGAATAGAGCTTGCCACAATGGGGTTTGGAACGGGTTCACCCTAATTTTGTACGTGTATGTGATAAGGTCATTACACCCAGTGCGCGCCCCTTCACGTTCCCCTCCTCGTTCTCCCGCCTAAACTGCTTGATCCCTTCCTCTCACCCTGATAATTTACCATTAGCTTGAAATGGGGTTATCGCTATGTGTTGCATTTCCAGAAATGTAAGGTGAGTCACGCTGAACGACTTTGAACAACACCACCAATAAGGCATTAATTTGCAAACGGTTTATATGCAGCCTGGTTTATATGCATAGCCCAAGCAAAAAGTTGCAAAGTTGTTATCTGCAAGACTAATACTAGAAACTTGTATTAGCTGTTTGCTTCGAGAAACAGGTCCCGGGTCTCCCTTTCTGTTAGAGGAGAAGATATAGGGTCTAGCAAATATACGAAGAGACAATCCAATAAATTAACCGATTTTTTTTTTAAATTGGACAAATTATTTCGACCAGATCAGTTCACGCGGATTATTAAAGCCATACAAGCAATGAGGAGCATGAGAACGGCGTTCCCCTACTTCTCAAAGAAATTTGAACAAATAATTGCAGTCAAGAATTAAGAATTAATTAAGCAAGTTAAATGTTGAGTAACACACGTGCAAGATAAATCCACATGCGGTTTGTGTAGTTTCCTGGACCATTTTAAAATATAATTTTGATGTTTAATTTTGTGAAATGCAAGTAGACACTGAAAATATTAAAAGTAATTGGGTATGCGCCCATTAATCTAGATGTATTACTTTTGCTCTTATTAGGAAAGCGAAAGATCTATCAATAAAAATCCCGAAATTCGCGAACTGGTTCGGGTTGTTTTTATTTTATTTTAATAATTTCTCGCTGGAATCTAATAATATGAGCAGGGACTGTAGTGCAGATGCTCCATGCGCGGATACATAACAGGGTTGTCTAGTGATGGAAGACTGACATCTAACTGACTGACATCGAAAAGGGCATTAACAACATATTTACCATATTACCCGAGTGAATTCGCTATTTTACTAACACTTCTGAAGTCCCTTAAGTATCGTATCCTTCCCACAGCGCGACAATGTGACTGCATCACATACTTGGCAACGGCTTTTCTAATCCAGGCTTTAACCTAAAGAAATAAAATGGCAGGCAAAGTTTGTTATTTCAATCCAAATTTCAAGAGATTTGTGCCAGAATCCTCTGTGAATTCGAGGTTGTCATCCCGAAATCGGAATGGACAAAACCATTCCACGGCTTCACAAAATAAAAAATGCAAAATCCATTACCGAACCAAGTAATCAATGAACTCCGATTGAGAAAAAAAGAACCGAGGAACGCGCGGAGCATGAAGCAAAGAAAATGCCGGAATGCACCTCTAAATTACTCCTTGTGAATCTCCTCAGAGGTGTACAGGCACCTACCATGATGAATGGCATGATGGGCACCATTGACACTATGCTGAGCCAGGTCCGGTCGGTTGGCATTGTCTGGCTATAGGCAGGATACGCTTATGGAAAATAAGGCATTTTTACCATGAATATAGAAAAGTTTCATTTAAGTGATAGTATATCATAACGCTATCCTAAAGAAGGAGAACATAGAGAATGCATTATATTCGCTCAGTTAACACAATTTCAACTTGATGGAGCTTAACATTGCTCACGCCTTTTGCCAGGAGAGAGTGAATGCGGAGAGTGAGCGAGTGAATGTGTGTATATGTTTTACGATATGAAAAGTTTGTCGTTCGTCACAGTCAAGTACCTGAAAGAACAGGCTCAAACAGCAATTGTGCAACAAGCAGGCCTCCTTTAAGGCAGACCCACCTTCCCATATGGAATCCACCACATTTGGGCATGCGCAAACTAGCAGACGAAAGTGCGTAATGCACATGCGCAATATAGCAGACGAACGCGCCCACTGCGCATGCGCGACTTGGAGCGCAAGCTAGCACACGCTAGCATGTGACGTCACACGCACATGATGGCTGCACCAGGTTGCCCCAGTGCCAGCTGCGCAATGAATTTGCAACGTTCCTTGTGCGAAAATACGCGCATGCGCCGTTAAGCAAATTTTGGTGATGGTTTATCCATATTAATATATACGTGGCCTATATAGTCTCCTTGTCCTAGGGGTTGGAGGTTTTTCACAGGATTTAACAAAATGCCAAAGCCTTCTAGTTCGACCAAAAGTGAGGCCAAAGTCAACCAGGTTAGATTAACGTGAACTTCACAATTCTGTCGTTCAGCATGGCCTAACGTTAGGCAGATCTTGGGGTCCTATTTTGAATTCAATTCCATTTGTATTATTTTCTTGTCATGCAGTTAGGCCTATCAATGTGCGAAAACTGAATGGTTCTTTTCAAGGCCATGCTATTATTCTAGATAAGAAGTCCCACCTAGAGATGAGGCTAAGGGAAGAACTGAAAAGGCATAAGGAGGAGCACGAAACTGGCAGGGAAAGTACTGGAAGGCACGTACAGTCAGAGTCTTCCTCTTCGGGTGAGAACAAGCCAAAAGAGGTGCATTTATCTAAGAAAAAAAAAGGTGCTATGGTTGCTTCGTTATCAGAATGGATTGTCTTAGGCTCAATATTGAGTTATGTGCTCATTGTAGGCTTTCCTCCCTTTGATATTAGACAGCAATATGTCGTGAGATGGTTGGAGGAAAGGGGGAGAAGGGAGTATCCCAGTAGAAATTCATTAGAAAATAGGATGTGTACCCTTCTTAGATTTTGAAACATTCCAGCTGGAAAGCCATGAGTTTGAAAGCTTTCATGATTATTTTCCCCTCGATTCAGCCCAATAACTTTCTTTCTAGGTTCTAAGGCAATCTCAGGAGCAATGTTCACTAGCACCAGTTGATTTTGCCAAGTCCAACTAGAATGAGGAATATAACCTCATGACAGGAGACTCCATAACAGACAATTAATCCTCACCCAAAGAATATCATCTGGCTATCATTTCATTTCTCTGTCCTTTTGTGAGTGTTCTTTCAGAAATCCACTTTCTTTTGACTTTCACCCTTGCAGGCTACATCAGAGAAGTGGAACTGAAAGGTCTTCATGGAGATGTGCTGCAAAGAGCACCAAGCTAAGCTGTGTGTCCTACAAGAGGAGGTCAAAGCCCTCGAAGCAGAGAACTGTCTGCTTCAAAGGCATAATGGATTATCCCAAGATGGTGAGACTCGAAGCCTGCTGCCTTGCATGCTAAATGGGGCAAAATGGGAAGCATCTTTTGTTAAATATTTCTAGAACTTATAGAAAAGAACACGTCTCTTAAAATAAATCATGGATGATTGACATCAAGCTAATGTATAGCAGTTTTGTTTCTTGAATCATGTGCAAAGGTTTTCCTGTTTTCTCTGCATCCATCATTTGCTTTAGAAATTTATCAGGAAAATTTGTATGTTCCCAAATGTATTAATTTTTTGTGCTATACTGAACTTAAACATATGAAGTAACCCTCATGAGTCAATTTGACTCATGAGGGTTCATTTGGTCCACCACTTCCTTATGAGCTGATATGTCACTGAAAGTTTAAGATAAGCATGAAATGAAAAATATCTATGGAAAGTGAGTGTATTTAGTTGTTGGGAAGACCCAAAAGTTCTAGAAGAACTTGGTTTACCTGAGCAATATACAGGCCTATACCCTTGCAAGCTGGATTTGAGTTGAAAGAGTAATTGATGTATCCTGAAAGTCTTGGATGAAAATTAAATTTTTGGTCCTACAGAAATTAATTTTTTAAACTTCAGATGTAGATGGTCACTTCATGTGACCAGCAAGTACCTTATTTGGTGAAAGGAACATTTTCTAAACAAGCTACATGCTATTGACATGAACTATTTTGCATCAGAGCTGGGTCTGTGCTGATATCGTTGCATATAGAGATTCAGGAATGAAACAAAAGTGTTTTTAGCCTACAGAATTTCTATCCTTGATATTAGCATTTATATTTCTTTGCTTAACCTCTGGGGTCATTTCCTGCTTAAGAACACAATGAATGACATAATGACTTGACTCATAATAACCCTCTACAAATTTATCATAAATTTCATGTTCTCTTTTACACAGATATGCAGAGACTGATTTAATCATCTTCCTCATAATTCTCCTCACTGAGAGAAACTTCAACAATTGAGCAGCACCCAGGAATAGTAGTGGAAAAGGTGATGGAAGAATCTGATTAGCAAGTCAAAAGGTGCCTTTATTTTTCTCTGTATTCTGAAGAGATATGACATGATCTTATCTTGGAACATCCAAGCTAATTAGAAGTACTGTACACTACTTGGGTAATCCATTTATCAGATTAAAAACTGAGTGTGAAAGCATTCAGCTCATATTTCATGAGAACTTTATGAATTCAGTGGTTATTGCAAATATCTCTTGCAGGGAGGAGGCAAGATCTCATGCCTTTGTTGCAAGGGAACTCACCACATTCACTTTGGGATGCACATCCTTGGCAGCCATCAAATGCTCATTGGGACAAAAAATGAATGCTCCTTTGAATTCTCCAGAAGTTACTGCAGTAAGTGAAATTCTTGGGAAAAGTTTAACAGAGTTTGCCTCCCAATTTTTAACCCTTTTCTCCTGAGATAGATATCTCAGGATATGGATCCTGAGATAGATATCTTCATATACCCTCTGCCTGAGATAGATATCTTCATATATTTTACTTTATGACTAATGAGAGGCCCCTGTAAAGTTTCTCTTTTTTTATCTCACCAAAAAAATCTTTCTCTAAGCCATTTTGATTACATTCCATGGAGAGTTGAGTTATCTCTTCTGATGAAATTCACATGCTTTGTTTTACTGTTTCAAGTATCCCAACATTGATCATATTTGATTTAATTGTAAAAAATGGTTTAAATGACTGTAACCATATTAGTTGTCTGTTTGTTTCTGATTGCCTACAAAGGCATTACAACTGAGTTAAACCAACTTGTCCTTGCGTTTCAATTTTTCCCCATATAGATCTTGTCATGGAGAAATTCCCAAGATACTCAGTGAAGCATATATCAGATAATGAGGGAAAAATGCACTGTCTCCAAATGGTTCAAGAAGAGTTCAACTGCTGCACATGTTTCATTCTCTGGAGCACTGCAGATCTGATTAAAAAATCAAAACATACTTCCCTTGCCTTCACATTCCTTACCTTTGGCTGAATACCTGCTTGCATCCAGCTCTAAATACTGATTTTACAGCTCCACTCTGACTTTTCCCTGATAATGTGGACACTTGGCTGCACAAGTGACATGTTTGTTGCAGCCTACTTTTGTCCTTATATCATGCAAGACTTGTACCATTCCCTCCACTCTGTGGCAACCACCTGTAGAGTCCTATAAGATTTGTGAAACAAAAATCTTATAGGATCCTATTGGATATTTTGACAAGAATCCTTTAGAATCGATTCAAAAGGGTTTGAAACGACTGCAACAAAAAGTTCATGAGGATGACCAAGCCTCATCAGAGCAGCAAGCCAAACAATCCAAAGAGAATGCTGGACGAAGGACGAAGGCAAAACTGATGGTGACGGTAAGTCCACTTGTCACATAACTTGTGGAATTGTGATTTCAAATTGATTTCAGTTCATTCATAATAATAACCAAACGAATCAGCGCAAGGGTGAGCAAGACGGAGACCGAACTGCTGATGGAGGTAACAGAAGTTTTCACATATAGGCCACTAAAGTCGCTGTCTCAGCTGTAGTCCGTCACGAAAACTTGCGTCAAGGGGCGGCTAACAACAAAACAATTCGGAATAGAATTAGAAAACTGGGTCGGCCCAGTTTGGTAGCTGATCACATCATCGCCAGGTTGTTAGGAGGGTCGGAGACTGACTGGAATAACATCGTCCAAATGGATCGTTATTTCAACTGCGGTGATTACAAATCGTTTAAATCGGAAATTCGCAAATGGATCGAGGATAACCCTGGAATGGAGCAAAGTGAAGTAGTAAGGTGTAAGGTGAAGATTTATTTCCGCCCAGGCTCTTCCATTCCTTTCATAATCATCTATTCAGTTGATCTTTCCTTGGATGGTGTCGAGTAAACGAATCTGAGTACATTTTTCTACTTGTTATTTGTGAGTTTCAATCAAATCAGATTGGGAATTTAGCTTGGATATCCGCTTCTGCAAAGAGCCTGTATACACACCTGGCTTTCGTCTCCTATTCGACTGTCTGTATTTTTGGATCGATCTTTCATAAACACCCGTGTTCATTTCTTCAAGAAATTAATGATCGCGTTGGTAATAATGGCGGACTTTTTCTTATCCTCTGCAATATCGACGAGATTTTGAAGTTGACCTACTATTTCGTCATTTATCTGACGCGTTGTCGTTGCTGTTGTTGTTCTTCCAGCGATGACAAATAATAAAATGCACAATATACATTAGAGATCAAATGTGATTTTTCTTGAAAAAACATGATTTTCTTAGGTAGATAGTCATGACGCCACTGGAATTGCTGCTTGAGCAATTCAAGAGATGTAAAACTTCTCAATGTGGTGATTCAAATTAGATTTCTTGCTTGGATATTTGTCTGGGTGAGAAATAGTCACTCCTGTGCTTAAGCAGCAATGATTTTGTTTATTGTCCATTATGCACGCAGGAACATCATTTGAGGGAAGCTAAGGAGGAAGGGTGAAGGATGCAGGAAAAAGAAGGCTGGAACCTGATTGGTCCCTCACGAGCCCGTGAATCTCAGCGAGCTTCGGTCAATCCGAACGAGGCACAAATCCACTGTAAGAAGGAGGAATTGGAACATTGCAAGTGTACAGATAAGAAATGCGAGAAGGTGCATTGCAAGAAGGAGAATTGCCAGAATAATTGCAAGGTCATTAAAGTAACCGTCGAGGCAAGGGTCCATCGCGAAAACTTGCGCCAAGGCACGGTTACCAACAAGAAAATTCGGGATGGAATTAAAAAACTGGATCACCCCGGTTTGGTAGCTGGCCACATCATCGCCAAGTTGCTAGGAGGGTCAGGCACCGACTGGAACAACATCGTCCCAATGGATAATGTTTTCAACAATGGCGCTTACAAATCGTTTGAATCGGAAATTCGCGAATGGATCGAGAAATACTCTGGAATGGAAGCTTGGATTGAGGTGGAGATTTATTCCTGCTCCTGCTCCCCCATTCCTTTCAAAATCAACTATGGGGTCGATTTTTTCATGAATAAAGTCTTGAAACACCATTTGAAAACATTTTTCTCCTTGTGATTTGTGGGTTTCAATCAAATCACATTGAGAATTTAGCTGGAGTCTCCGCTTCTGTAATGAGTCTGTGGAAACATCTGGCTTTCATCTCTCATCTGACCGTTTTTACTTTCGGGTCGAACATTCATAATCATCCGTGCTCATTTTTCAAGAAGTTAATGATCGCATTGGTAATATTGGTGGTCTTTGTCTTCATTATCCCCTGCAATATCGGCGAGAGTTTTAAGATGACCTACTATTTCGCCATCTATCTGATGTGTAGTTGTTGCGATTGTTGCTCTTCCAACGATGACGAGCAGCAAAATCTGCTATGAAAATTTGCATTTTCTTTCTTTCCTCCCTTATTCCCACATTCAGCTTTCACCAGGTTTAAAGAAACTTTATTTTTTTAATTTCCTCTTTTATTTTTATATTTTTATTTTCCAATTGCACGACCATTTTCTTGACATCTTCATTATTGTTTCGGTGGGCACTGATGCATGGCAAACAAAACATGTTTACTTTTTGTTTTTAAAAAATAGCATTCCCACCTTCCATGCATCCTGCTCCAGTCCCTGGCAAATTCTGCGAATTTTCTGCTTTTGGTCCCAGGCACGCCCATTTGTGTTGTCAATAGGTTTTAGTTCTCCTGAGGACTTCTGGTCCCATGAAGAATATTATTGATTGGAACAGAATTGTTGCTAGGGAAACACAAATTTGAAAACTTTGCACTTGGATGCAAAAGTGATGGACAGATTTCTTGTTTCCACATTATTTCCTGAGGAAACATTGTGCTCTTGCTTACTCACTAGAGAATGGCAAAATGTGTTGCATGTGTTCTGATACCATACCCAAATGGCCTTGCTTTATGCACTTTATAAATGGGCTTATGAAGCATTTGAACAATGTTTTATTGTTATGAATTTCAGGCTTATGCTTAGTCTGGCAACCTCAGTAATGAGATAATTCCGGTTGCAGATTTGTTTCTTATTTCTTACCCCTTTCTTATTGTTCGGCATTCAAAGTATATCACTCATGAGAATGAAAGTGTGGACTTTTTTAATATCCCCTACCTGTTAGAATAAATCATTCGTTTCATGATTGATAAACAGCAAATTTTCCATATTCTTTCTTTGTCTATGTAAGAAAACTTTCCTGGTGTGTACAAGTCTTCAGGACTCATGATTACATCGTGCCTGTACTGAAACTCTCCTATATTGACGAATGACAATTTTCGGATTTTTGGCATATCCCATGGACGTCGCTGCTTCTAACTAGCTCTTACAATTTCACGAGTCAATTCCATTGAGAATTCCGCTTTTCATGGCAGTCCTGGAATGACGCTCAGATCCAGTATCCTTCAGACGCTAATTTCGCAAATTTGTCATGTTAAGCAGAAGACCCGACATGCACACTCTTGTAGATAAGTGGAAAATAACTCGAAGCAGGATACAACCGGGCTTCTTCGCAAGGTTGAACGAGGTTGCCGTGGGGGAGGCAAGATGGGCAGAGCCCCCGTCCAAGTGACGTGTAGGAACTTTAGTTGCATCACGGGCTACGGTTTGGAAATAGGAAAAGCGAAAGCAAAACAGTACGCTCTATATGCAGCCACTATGCAAGGCGTCTACTTATGCTTCAAAGGCCTCGGATATGGAGGTATTCGATGGGAGTAACTGTATTCGCTGCTGAATGTCTCTGAAATAGATTTAGCGGACTAAATAGTTTAATCTTTTCGTGAAGTGTAGGAATCATACTTCCCACCACGCGAATTCTTGTCAGTGCGTTGGGAAGTCCATTTCCCACCTAATTTGCCTACGATGTAACAAAAAAAAGCAGGAAAGATGTGCCAGTTTTTCATGGCCCACAAACTGGTTAGAAAAGCAGATTCAATTGAAGATGGTCTAAGAATTAGTTCAAATATGATATTGAGAATGTCATTTCGCGTGTTTATATTTAAGTTTCCAAGGGGGGCGGCAAGGCGAATGCTCTTAGCAAAAAAATGAGCAAGGATAGTGTGTACCCATGCGGTGAATAACAAATTCCAGACCAGAAACCACTTCTGGCTTCCCACACCAATGGAACTCCTACGGTACTGGTTTCCCTTGGTTTCGGTATCGTGAGGAACCCTGCTCGTAAATTGAAAACACCTGATGATTGCGGAGAAATCCACACTAAAAAATAGTTGCTCTGACGAAACCCAGAATTACTCCTATTTTAAAATACTATTTAGCAAACAATTTCTTATCGCGGGCAAGTATAATAATAAAATAGCACACAGAATATAATTAAAAGTGTTAAAACTACAAATAGCAAATACTATTTCTGATTTTCAAGTAGCAACACGTGTTGGAGCTAATCACTGACCTGAACAGACTTGACTGCAACACCTTTCCTTGTCTAGTCCGTTTGCAAACGACGTCGACTGATGCACGGAGGTCTTGAGCCACAGCGTTTATTTATCCTACCCCTTCGGGAATCAGTCCCCCCCCCCCCTCCACCTCGCCGCCCTCAAGGAATAGTCACTTGCCCCACAGCCAGTGGATTGGGCGCGCCAGAGATGCACATCTAACTCGCGAGGAGGGAACGGGCTTTGGCCTTAGCTCAGATTAGACTGAAATACTACTAGGCAGTTGGGATGTTCGTCGCCAGACGATTTCACGAGTCATCGCCGCGCTGGGGGAGCGTCGTGCGACGAACGACGCTGTTCAAATCCGGTCACAATGTATCCTCATCGCATAGTTCGTTCGGTTGAGATCCTTACTGCCACTAAAAATCCGACTTATAGGAAAGTGAGCACTCATGGTAACGCCGCGTTACGTGCATTGTGGCATCAAGCGACTCCTTCGTGAAATCTCATAGGGATTCCATTTCTACCTTGGAATGGTTCGAAGAGAGGATGCCCCAGGAATTTCTTCTATTTTTGAGACCATTAGATGAAACGCTACGGTACTGATTGCAATTCCGTGACCTACACACTGCTAACCTATAATAATTTATAATAATAAACCTTTAATAAAATCGCAAAAAAAGCACGACCTAAAAAGAATTGAACGATCTTGATGAAATTTGATACACTAGCTCATACTAGCATACTATGAAATCGATTGGAATTTCAAGTGTGTTTGATGAATATTAATGGAGAAAACACTAATTAATCCAATTTCAATAGCGGCTATGGGGTTATACTAATCGCCCGAAACGATGACCTAGATGGTTTTTACTGGCAGTACGTGGTAGGAAAACTCCTAAAAATGTGAAGCAAAATCGAGCAAAGTTTCGAGATCGTGAGATGAAGCTATTCGGAGAAAACTGGCTAAATGCAGGAAGAACTGGGAAGAAGGGCGGCGCCATTGAGCGCACCAGTTTCCTTTTTCCCATCCCTCAAGCCGCTTCCCTATTCGCTGGGTGCATTAAGTTGGAGACATCTGGCGGCAGGAAGCATAAAAATGAGCTGGGGGGAAGTCAAGCGTTTTTGGCTTCAATGCGTTTCTTATGGAAACATGCAGAAGTGATTATTTTTACTACGAAAAGGCTTCATTTTCTTTGCCAGAGGGATTTCCTCAGGCCAAGAATGATTATACAGTAAGTAATCGATGGTCTGAAGTTTCTACTTGGAGCATCCAGACAGCCTGAAAGGCCTGCTATGGTGTTTCTTTCAATCTAGGCCTTTCCTTTCCATGGACGAATGAAAATCAAATTTGGCATTTTCTGTTACTGGATAAATAGTCAACATTTACCATTGACATACGTTTTATCATGAGGTACTAACCCAAAAAGGGTTACTGTCATGGGTTTTAATTTAAGCCCATGAAGCACATCTCATAAGGGGAAAATACCTACAGCCAGCACTTAAGAAAATACAGAGGCAATGGAGTCAAAACTTCATCAAGTTTAAAAAAGGGTTGGGCTTGATAAGGAAAAATATTGGCAAGAAAAAGGCAAGATCTTGTCAAGATGACAACCAGCTATAATGAGGGGAGAGAGGGCCGTTTCTAGGCATGTTGGCGCCCAGGGCAAGGAATTCCAATGGTGCCCCCCCCCCCCCCCCCCCTCCGCCCCCCCCCTTACCCCGCTGGCGCCCCAGGCGATCGCCTGCCCCTAGAAACTGCCCTGAGGAGAGAATAAACCTAAAAAGTAAATCAATATTCCCACTTGACAGGGCGTTAAAGGTGGAGGACATCTTATGAAGACTAGGCATGAAACGAAATTCAAGAGCTTGTCAATCGTCTTGTTTGAAACCCAACCCTAGTTTAAAGCAGTTTCCCATTGTATTGAATTCTATATGAAACTGGAAGATATTAATAGTGTCCCGCTAATTGTATCATGCACATATATCTCACTGAGGCCCTTGATTCCATAGAAATCCTTGCATTGGTGTTTGGCTTTGAGGAAAACCTGCACCTCCTTTGAAGATGAAGTTCGATTAAGGATTGAACTACGTTTTTGCACACCCCTGAACTCTGTCGCATTTATAACATGTTTTACTACGGCTAGAAGCTCCCTTTATCATTGTCGTGGCTCTCAAGTTTTGAGAATAAATTGGGAGGAGCCCCACGCAAAGAGGGAACGTACAGTTCCGTAATGACATTACTTTGTTCCATTCTCCTCCTTATGTGCGACTCCCCCCCCCCCCCAGTCAAGGGCGGCGCCATATTTAAAATGCGCCATCTAGTGTTAGTGCACCCAGCTAATACGAGTCAGTTCAAAAGAAACTCACCGCTCGACTTACCGTGCCTATCACGTCTATCTCAGGATTTTACAGACATTTCGGTGAGAACATGAATCGTCAAGCCGATTGCTGGCCTGTCCTGACTTTAACGAATCATTTCAGAGAGAACGCATGACGTTAGGCCTATCTGGAACTTCTCGAACCATCTCGACGAGGCCTGTGAACAGACTGCCTCTGAAATCCAAACGCATGCTGGACGCCATCACGAGCAGGGATGTCCAAGCACGGTATGTCCATATCGCGCCAAATCGATCAGCAATCCGCTAAGCTTTGTTTCAATCTCAATTCATCGCATTGAACTCCGCATGAAAATGAATTGTACATAATAATAAATAATGATAAAACATACCCATGACATATTCGAAAGCAGAAGCAGTCATGAATTCCTTCAAAACGCCAGACTGATATCCGGCAACCGTGGGGATGGGATTCGGGTGTTTTCCCGGCAACCCGCAACGAATGTACCAATGCACTGCAACACATCAATGAGTCGTCGATGCGGAAACGGCAGTTTCCAGGTCTGACGTTAAGAGGAAAAGCGCATTTGGAATGATTTATCTTCATGTGCTGAATGCGGTGAGTAGATAAATATTGCAATGAAGCGTGTTTCTAATAATAAAAAATGTTTGCGAGTCTCGAAACACGCTTCATAAATGTTCTTAACGGTAGGAGAAATACGAGTTCCTCTTGAAGTTTTGGCCCGAACAAAAATTCTCTTATTTCTTCTCCTTCCCGGAAAATTCTTTCTGAAATTTCAGTTGATGGAAGCTGACGCGCATGAAATGATTTGTCATTTTTCCGTAATGCGAAATATTTTTTTTTCTTCACGAGGAAAAGAGATCTAATCTAAGTCCAGGCTTTTCGCTCAGCATTTTCAGTGTCTTTCATCGGAATGTCTGCTATTTTTCTGTATTCAATATTCGGACAAAATGAATTTCGGAACCTCATCTTGATAATTCGCTGGTTCATTTCACGCCTATTTTGGCATTTTTGCGCGGAGAGAGAAGCTAAGCAATTTTGGGATTCGAGAATGTCCAAGTCGATGATCGAACACCTTTGCAAAGCTCCTCGAATATATCAAATCAAATCAAATCAGTTTATTCAGGTAATTCAGCACATGCTATAATAGCATGATTTCATATCTCTACGTCATCTTTTTATTTATTTTATTTTATTTATTATAAAATAAATATAAAATAAAATAAAATAAAATATCAGAAATGATCTGTATTTGCTGTCAGCATGGGATGGTTTTCTCTTTTTTCTAATATTTCTCGAATACATTTAGCCAGTGAGCTCCAAATCCGTGCACTATTATCCTTAGCAGGATTTTAGGGGACTCGATGTCGTAGAAATAGGCCCAAACCATATTTCCTCGTTTCCTTCGGCGAAAAAAAAAAGAAAATTTCCCTCGAGTGCTGCTTCCTCGTTTCTCTCACGCGTGCCGGGGCGAAGAAGCAGAAGCGACCGAGCCGACAGCAAAGCGCAACGAAGCGGCGAGGAGTGAGCCTCCCCTCCCGGACCCACAAGACTCGACGCCACGTCTCGCTCCCGTCTCACTCCCCGTTCGGCCTGGAAGGGAAGACGATGGAGGCGCTCTGCATCCTGTTTGTCGTGCTGTCTGCGTCTGTGTGCGAGGGAGGGTTCGACCAGGCGCCTGCGACGACTGCTTCGCCTGCGACGACTGCTTCGCCTCCACCGTCCACTTGCGTCTGCCGTGCGATATTCCTTTCGTGCTTATTTATAGAGTTTTTTTTTTTCATCCTTGCGATTTACCCCGTTATGTAACTCGGACGTCGCGTTTCGTGCGAACGACGCCAAGACCAAAAATGTTCTATGCGTTTTTCTCCTCAAAATTTCTGCTTTTTCCATCCTTTTAGGATAGGTTTTCTCATACCGTGTCCGTTCCCACTCGAATTCCAACCACTCCTTCGACAGATGGCATCATAGAATCTGACTTTTTAAGAAATGGTCAGTCACTCCTTAGAGCACGCATGCCAAGTTTCGAGAACGTATACGTTCTCGTGTTATGACACTAGTGTCATAACAAACTCGTACAGCTTACATATCGTTACTTCAGCTCGCAATTTATTGAAGGAAAAATCACCCGCGTTTCATGTCAAGGATTCTAGTGTCCAGTTTTCATAGTCCAGTTTTCAATCATCAATCATCGCGGGAACTCTCATTGAACCCCTTGAGTCCTGACAGGACTCGGGAGTCCAGCACTTCCCCGCAAATATTTGTTCCGGGCTTCATAGGAATGCACTGCCTCTTTAATGAGGAGTTGCGCCTCCGGTTCTTTCTCCGGTTCGGTCTATTTTGGTCTCGTGATACCCTCATGTAAATAACTGCTCGACCAACTCAAAAATTACTTAGTCTCATTTATTTCTTAATTTAATTAATTGAGACGTTTGCTCTCAGCGCTTGTAATCCAGGATAATTTTGGCGCACAAAATAAATGCTGAGCAAGTGGCGACGGGATTTTCGATTATTGGTGAGGCTTCTGAGTCCCTGTGACCTCTATTGGGATCCGTAATTTTGTGGTGAATGAAGTTTCATTTTGGACGCTTGAATGAGGAAAATTGGTTTTTACATAATTTATATATTTAAATTCGGGACCGAAAGGCTCCAGAACTTAGGGTTAACACAACCCAGTCAGCACATCGCGTTAGTCCCGCTTTGGTGCTAGTGCGACAGCCATCACTTGTCCCGTGGCCTTCTCACTCGTATCTCGCCTCTTCGAATGAACGAGATTCCCGGACATGAAGCGAGAGAGCGCCTACGTGGCCGATATTTCAGGGTAGGTTCTAGCTGGAAGTGACGGGATGGAAGTGAAGTTCTAAGGTCTGGGGACTGTCAATGTGAAAACTGATCTTTTGCAACAGACAACGAGGGTATGGGTGGGGGGGGGGGAAGAGAAGGGGAGGGGAGGCGATTTCCTCCATCCATTTGTTGAAACAAGTTACACAGTCCCGAGAGATTCCCCCCGGTCGTGCAGGAAGGATGATCGAACGAGGTGCGTGGTGCGTGGTGCGTGACTCGGAAGGTTAATTCAAACTAGACCTGTTGATTGTGGAGGCTCAATCTAGCTGTCCTTTGGAGAACGTAGATTTGGGCACGAATGGAAAAGTTGACCGAAGGGATCTCATCTAGGAGACAATCGATCGAAGGTCAGACTCGCTGAAATGCTCTCAGCCAGACCGAGAGAGACTCGGCGGCAAGGTGGCGGAGCAGAACAGTGATGTACAAATGCAGACGCTCCAGGCCTTTTTCTAAGCGCTTCGAAGTCGTTTTGCGTGGCAGCGTTTAATGTTCGCCCGATGTGGGCGACCAGCGTGGACCCGAGGGACAAGTTTAGTGTAGCGCCTGGACTTTTGGCCCGCATCGCACGTGTGGAATCCAATATGGTCCCTACGTTGGTCCAACGTGGGTGTGCTGCCTGGGAACAAGTGTGGTGTGGTCATTCTCCTTGAATGCTCCTGGTATGAAAAGACACCACGCCTAAACACTTCATGACATCGCTGCATGAATCCTTTTGAAAGTAACATTTTATTGCCCCCTCAATGCCCCTGTTCTTTCGATATTCTTTCGTTTCCTTCTCACGAAGGAGATAATACTGGTACGGGACGCCGAGCTTTCCCGTCTCCTCTTTTAGTGTGTCCCTGTAGGTGCTGCCGGTTTACAGTACCGGTCAAGTACCTCGCCTTAGGTGCGAGGTAATCCCTTATCATCCGCAGGTAGATTGGGGCCTCTATGCCACCTTTTAGGGTGATACCGTCTCCGCTTAGTACCAAGGCCACCGTGGGTCCAGGCGGAGGGGCTCAGACAAGTACAGGCAGGTATCAGCGATATCACAGATCATGTTTTCTTTTCTCTGGTCCGTTGTACAAAAAAAGAATAGAACGCGAAGGTTCACTCGATGACGAGCTCGGGACCGGCGTCGGAGCCGGAGGTAGAGGTGTCCGACAGGTGTCTGTTCCGTTTCCTTTCTCGCGGGATGTCTGGGAGGTCGCTACTCGTGGTCTCCCGCAGGGTCTCTCAGGTCACTGATCCTGAAGATAAAGGGATGGCGCTTCTAAGGGGCTGGGGTCGCTTGGTGAACTAGGTCCGCTGGTCAGTGCGGGGCTCGGAGAAGGGGTAAGGGTACTCAGCCGAATGTCGTTTGAGACGTATCGGGAGCCGCCGATACGGCCGCTCACCGTACCTGAAGTCAGTGGTCAGACTAGGTAGCTCGAGCTACTAACTAAGGAGCGCGGTCGTGTCGCTAAAGTGGCGAGGCACTTAGATTTTGTGAAAATGAGCTGAGGTCGATGAGGAATGATATTGTTGCGGAGGGGAAAGTGGGAGACGGACGATGGAAGGCATGAGAGGACGAAAGAAGCCAAGGAACGGCCGGGAATTGAACCCGGGCCTCCTGATTGCCGGTCAGGTGTGCTACCTTTACACCACCGAACCCCGGACATTTAGTCGTGCCTCCCGATGCCATCCTCATCCGTCACAATATTATACGCGGTCTTTCCTCCACAAAACCGACTGCGTGTCAATAACATTCCTTGCTTTCAGTGGCGGGTTCATCGTGCGGGAGCGTGTCCACCCGGCGCTCGTGGTGGTTCCAGAATCTGTGGAGAGACGCCACAGGATTGATCGTGGGCGGGCAGCCGGCGACCAAGGGGGAGTTCCCCTTCATCGTCGCAATCAAAGAAGGACAGGATTTCAAATGCGGAGGGGTCATCATCAGCAATCGTTACGTCCTCACTGCCGCCCACTGCTACAGCAGGTTCTCATTTCTTCCGCCTCGTAACAAGATGGGCATGCATGGTAAACGCAGCGGACCGGGTTCACACACGGGGGCGTCACAGGCCTCCCATTGGCCAATTGTGGGAACACAGAAGATCCTTTCTTCAAGTTATCCTATGGGAATTACCTTAGTACGATAAATGTTCATTGGTGGGACGACATTGCTTTTTCGTATTGATGCGAGGGACTTTCAATAAATACAGGTGCACTTGGATATAGATATAGAGAAAATTGAGCCCGCACAATTTAATCAAAATCGGAAGGGATCAGGTGAACAGATCAGGGCATTTTTTCGTGCTGAATTAATATGGAATAAACTCCATCGGAGGTTCCCAACTTTTCAATCCAATTCCAAAACGAGCGGAACGAACATCTGATTTGATAGTCCCTCGATATGTGTGACTTTCAGTAATTTGTGGTCAATGGATGAGTGGTTGGATTGACAGTATATGCGTTTAAATTTTTTTGATGCCCCACCATAGAAACTATTATTTTTTTTTTTACCCGTAATATGTAATGAATTCCAGCACTTCCAAGCTCGAGGACTTCGCAGTGACGGTGGGAGAGTACGACATGTCCACTACCAGCGAGGGCACAGATCAGAAAACGTTTGGCCTTCAAAGCGTCAAGAATCACGAATCTTGGGGTCAGTCCTGCGGTTGGCTTCTTTGTCTGGCTTCTGTCTGGCTAACTTCATCGTGGTTGATAGGGCATGAACGATAGAATGCCCAGCGCAGTCTCGCAGTTCCGTAGGATCTCCACTCGCAAACACGACAACTGAAATAGCAATTCTTTGGCATTGCACATTGCATATGTTCATGTTTCTCTTTTTTTTTTCTTTCAAAAGTTGCTCGGTGAATTGAGGGATGTCACTTATTATCGCCTACTAACGCACAGCTTTCAGAATGTAGTGCCTTGTTTCGCCAGAAGTACAGAAATATCCTTCATCCGGAACAGATTGCTCTGGGAAGGAGTGGAACAAATTTCAGAGGAATTTAAAATTTGTGCTTCCTTAGAATGCCCCGCATTCTCACACAAATCTCATTTCTCGATGCCGCAGTTGCTACCAAACCAGAAAATGGATACGACATTTCCCTCTTCAAGCTGAACGGAGACATCACCTTCGGCAAGTACATCCAGCCCATCTGCATCCCGTCCTCGGACTCAGAATCCACCCTGAGAGCCAGCACGAAAACCGTTTATGGATGGGGATACCGATCCAATTGTGAGTAATTGGTCTCTTTGCATCCCGCTGAAGACCAGATCAATGATTGAAAATCCGCTTTCCAGCCGATTCCACGCCGGCCACGATCCTGCAGAAGCTGAACGTGAATCTAACCTCAGAGAGCATTTGCAAGAGCAGCGGAAAAATCAACGGACCGAACGGCAGCATGCTTTGCTCCGTGGGTGATGGCGTTGGCGGAATCTGCTCGGTGAGTCTCATTCCCTGGAGGATTTTCAAATTCTTTTCATTCGGGATCGAATGACTCTTTTTGTGTAGGGTGACAGTGGAGGACCTCTGGCGACCAAGGACGACAAGGGGTTCTTCTATTCTTTCGGGATCGTGTCCTACAATACGCAAATAGATTGTGGGATCGAGGGCTATCCGGACGTCTACACGCGAGTTTCTTACTTCCTCAACTGGATTCAAGCGAACGCGGTTTGAATTGACTTTGTGACGAGCACGGATGTCGGATTTTCATTCTGTCGGATTTCGTCAAATTGATTTCGTTTGCTCTTTTTTTTCTTTGGAGGGGGGCATTTGTCAGACTTTCGAGTGCGACGGATGGGGCAACAAACGGCAGGGATCAGGTAAATTAGCCATGCACTTCTTTGTTCTTAATCATTTAACTAGTTGTCAGTAAAAACTTTGTGACATTTCATCTTTAACTTTGCAAGAATGTCTTAAATTGATTCTGCGGAAGGAGTCCTTGTTTACGTGGTGCGATCGAAAAGTTCCTGGACGGATTCGTTGAATGAAGCGTTCATGACACTTACCAGCTAATTAACGCCTCGAAAGCAGTCTCCTTCTGCGTGTATATACTTATTTAAGCGTTCCTGAAACTTTCAGTAGCACCTTTGATATTCTTCTTGATGTCCCTGTGACGTGTTTACACTGATGATGAACATGGCGTCCAATCTCTAGGCATGACATCGTAGGCATGAAGGGATATCGACTTGAATCAATTTAGAAAATGTAGCTATTAAGCAAAAACGGATGGCCATATCCGATGACCAAACATTCCTCTTTCCCATGGTCCGATTAGTGTCCACACCAAAAATTTTACAGTTTTATGATGAATACTTGGTATATTATTACCGTCTGAAAATAGAAACAAACTTTTTACAAACCCTTTACAAATGATAACATCTTGCTATAACTTTGCTTTCCTTTTTTTCATAAATCATTGATCTACCATGATGGCACAGGCAAAACAAGAATAGCTTAGAGAGAGCGAATTTTCATGTGTTCAGCACAATATAAAAGACATGGCATTGTGCTTAAAACCTTCATGTGGATTGCATGGCTTTTCGAAATGCTCTCGTTTGAACGTCGAAATTGACGAAGATAGCGACATGTTCCTCTCAAACGGATTTATTCAGAGAAATGTTCATTCACAGAGTTCTTCGCGTCACTTACGGAAAGAAATATTTCCTAAGAAGTTTTACATCCAGGAATGGCACGTTTTGATGCGGTGAACGAATTCCGCCCCTCCTCGTTTCAAGTAGTAGCCAAAAAGAGTTTTCAATGAAACTCGATTGTCGATAAAAGTAAGTTGTAAACACACTTAATTTAGTGAGGCCCACAGCATATGAACAACAAATCAAAATGAATCTAAAGGGAAAGTGATATGGAATCAAGACGTGTCTAGAAATGGTCGTGTCAAAGCACTGAAACACTTTTAACAAGGAACAATCTGTGCAAGCCACAGTTCGTGAACAACCGAAAGTTTCCATTGTCTCTCCGCTTCCTTTCACTGAAGAGAAGTCTTTAATCCAGGTAGTCGAAAGGGCAAAAAGGGATGTCACAGGATTGGAACTCCCTTTTACCATGACAATAGGGCCCAGTCTCGCGCCCGTCCGGATTGCGACAAAAGTTGTGATTTTCGCTCCTCACGTCCTCTGGGAACCTGAGCAAATTCCATAGAATCGGATATTCCATCCATAGGTCACACGGACTCCCTGACGCGGATGTATTACGAGTTCCTGCGTACTCCTCTCCCTCCTTCGTCCATCTGCATTCCGTCTTGTCTGTTTGATCGGTGACATGATATATACAGTGGAAATACCTTGCCATGAAAGAGATGTCAGACTCGAAGGATGTGCTTTGCGAAAAGGGTGGGCCGGCCGAACACAATATTGCATCCTTTGAGATACGTCCTCAGGCTATTAATTCAATATATGAAGTATCAACATTAAGTCTTTGAATCGGCCGGAGAATTTATTGCACATCACCAACGATAGTTCATATTCTGAATTTCTTCGATGTTCACGGAATTAGGATAGGAAACGCAATAAATCGACTTCAGAGAATCATTGGACAGTGCGCAGGGATTCAAGGGAGGTCGTGAGGAATGCTTTTTTTATTACTTCAGTCTAGAGCATGGTCATTACTTTTTAAAACTTAAACCTTAAATAATTGAGAAGCCGATGGCAATAACAGCCATATTGAATCGTCTGTTAAGGAAGATTCGAAAGAAAACAAGGAACCAAATGGAGAAGAATCAATAGTAAAGAATCATAGAAGATGGTTCCTACTGCTGGCACATAAGAAAGATCCAGCAACGAAACACACCACAATGTTCACGAGATAAAATTCTTCACATCTGTATCTCACTATAGCCATTCCAAATGATCTGATCTGGTCGTCACCCAAAACATTTATGAAGCAATGTGACTTCTTCTGGTTGAATAAAAGATCGTGTGTTATTATGGGAATCATGCCTCATTGGGCCGAGCACACGGAACTCTCCCACAAGAAAATAGCCAGTGCGAATTGTAATAGCTTCGCAGCAAAGAAGAACTGTTGTTCCGATCAGATACAACAATCAATGATTCCTTGACATTGACAGGATGATATCATTCGAAGAAAACGATTCTTAGACCAACAATTCCGAATTTTAAGTTGAATTTTAAAATGCATGGGACCATTTCCTCAAAAATTGTGCAATATATTGAGCAAGTTGTCCTTCTGCATTGCAAAGTTTTATTTTGGTTATTTCACATGTTGGCGAAAATTAAGGCATTTGTTTTGTTGCCTGAAAGTTCTCTTAGTTCGTAACGGTGTGTCTGCATTGGGTATCGCTCATGTTCAACACAATGATGATTCGTTTAGATCCCTGTAGAAGATCTGTTCGTCGATCGATGTGAGCTCACTTGGGTAATTGGGGCAGAGGCGGATTTCGCAGAATTCCCATTCGATGGCCGGATCGTCGACGAAACACCAGGGCTGCTCCCTGAGCGCCGGGTTCCTGCAGAAATTCTCATGCAACGTGGGATTGCCAAATCGGAAATGTGCCTCATAGGAGAACGTCTGGTTGAAGTCCTCAGGCGTCCCGTAAGGGTGGGAATCCCATCGGAGACAGGGCTTTCCAGTCTTCGTCGTCCTCTTCGTTCCCGCGTATTCCTTTCCCATCGTGGTCTGCAAACATTCCGGGTATCCTTCCGCCGGTTTACCTGTCACATTTTTTCCCTTGAAAAACCTCGAAACACATCAAATCTATATTGCACCAGACTGAAGCGCTTCAAGCTTTCGAGTTAGTAGATTTTCAGAAGATTAGACAATGACTAATTTCCGCTTCAGAACTCATTCTAATTATGTAGAATACGGGATTCTAACGTATATGGTGAGTTCCTCTTTCGTGAAACTCTTGCATTGGATAAAGATAGCGTCACCATGAGTATGAAGAAACCCGAAAGCATACCAGCAACAGC